AAAAAAAAGAAAAAAGAAAAAAAAAAGAGGGTTTCCTCTCTCTCTACATATATGGGATACATGTTTTATGAGATTGAATTTCATATTAAAAGTATAATTTAGATACTAAAATTATTAAATTGGATAAAATGCAATCGGAAATTGTTGCTTTATTGGACTTAATTGATTATATCTCAATTTAAAAGGAGGTTTGCAGGTAGTTTCCATCTGGTTATCCCTTTTACAAAAAGAGAAAAAAAAAAAATCATCAATTAAGGAGAATCCACCTTTAACTTTAATGAAATTTCTTATCGGGAATGCTTTTCTTATATGGAGGTCCATTTCCTACTCCTTTTCTTTCTCGCCAAATTCGAAAAGAACAAAGATTTTTTTTTTTTGAACAAGAACAAAGACATTATTGTTATCAGGTTTTTTAAATTTATATTTTTAAAGTATATATTGAGAGTTTTAAAAGGATAAATTTTAATATTAATTTATTAATTATTTAATTAAATTTATTTATATGATAATAATTTTAAAATTAATATTAATTTTTATATTTTTTATATAAATTTATAATAAAAAATATTTTTTATTATTATTATTATTATTATTAATTTTTTCCATGGTTAACGTAGACAGTGATCGGAGATTTTCTAGAATGCCACACTTGACAATTAACTCCTTTAAGAGCGCGGTGGCACCACAAGAATCAATGAATAATTTATATATCTTGAACATTGACGGTGAAATTAATTGACTTATTTAGTTATTCTCCTAAGGAAAATCGTATTTTTACAATAGAAATGTTTTTTTTTTAATATCTCTTTGGAAGTATGGTAGTTGATTCAGGGGTAATTCATTACCGTGCAAATGGTGTTTATTGGAAGAGGGAAGAAGACTTTGTCCGTACTAAAATGCGTTTATTGGTAGAAACTAGGGATAAAAACTTTGGTGCTCTATTGGCATATTAACTGACCTTTACTGTATATTTTGAAGTGTGATTTTGATTGCTTATTATTTTATTAAAATTATTTAAAAAATTATTTAATTTAACTCATTTTATTAATTTATAATTTTTTAAATAATTAATTATAATATTTAAAAATATTAATTTATAAATTAATTTTAATTTATTACATAATAAATATTAATTATTTTATCGATTATAAATTATTTTTAATAATAAAATAAAATTAAATTTATATAATCTTCACAAAATAACAAGTGTACGTAACAACGTCCCATTCCTAGTTACTTACGGTAAATATATAAAAGTTCAAATAATTAACTACCACCATTGTTTTCTATTTATATACAATTAACACATCTCATTAATCAAGGACATCCAACTTTAACTTTAATGGGATTTCTCTTTTGTAATGCTTTTCTTTCAAGTAGGTGCATTTCCTACTCCTTTCTCACCGAAAGAAGCAAAGGACTTTCTTTTTCTCTTTTATAATGCTATTCGTACAAGTAGGTACATTTCCTATCCCTTTCTCACCGAAGGGCGCAAAGGGGAGAAACGAACTTTAACTTTAATGGAATTTTACGAGAAAATGTATTAAAAAATTATGAATTTTATTATTTTTATTTTAAAATATAAATTTTATTAATTTTTAAATAAGACAATCAA